TCAAGTTTCTGTGGAATGCTCCGAATGCTTTATTTCCTTAGATGCTGTTGCAAAACAAAGCTATTGAAAATGCACAGAATCAGATTGGCTCTCCTTTTAGGTATATTTGTTACAAACTAAAATGGCAAGTAAGATTTAGTTTTTAAAAATGCTGGCCAACAGGTAAGCATTTTATTTTTTTCCCCTCCCCTCTTTTTTGAGTGTTTAGCACTGCCCTCCTCCCCCACAGCGTATTTCTGGGTTCTCTTTACTCCTTGTGTAATTTGCAGGAGTATTTTTTAATGGTGTACTCCACCAGGTGGCTCTCAAGGCCCAGAATGCGAGAACTACTTGGTGCACCTACCAAGAGCACTTGGGATCATTTAGGGCATTGCAGAAAACTGAATTATGTTTTTATAGCATATATTCACCCTGAAAAACACTAGGAAGACTGATCAATACCTTAATCCCTTTGGAAAAAAAGTGCAAAGAGGAGTTGTAATGATTCTGAAAAAGTATTACGTGAAACACGCAATATAGTAGGAGCGCTTAAATATCAGTTGGGTATTAGAGAACAGGGAACACTGCTGCAAGAGGCAAGAGATCTACATCTGGTTCTTTGATTATTGTTCAACACTTTTCTGAAAAGTTATTTCTGGTCTCCAGGTCTTTTGAAAAAGTATTTGCTGCCTTGCACTTACAGAATACTTAAAGGGAATGGATGTTAGGTTTTACCATTTGGCCATGTCCTCTTCCTTGATTTCTGAATCACTGTTTAATTTGTCTTGTTAGTATGCAAGATGATGAAATTAAAAGTCAACAAGTCAGTAAAATGAGCAAACATTTATGTAATTAGCTGAAATTTCCAAAACTATTGGTCAGAATTTTGTCCACTTTATTAAAAATTATAGATACTTGTGAGCAAAGAAGGGACACAACTAATAAGCTTGCTGAGAAATATAAGCTAGTGGCTGACTGCCTGGAAGTAAAAAAAACACAACCAAACTTTTCCTCTGGACAGGTTCCACAGAAATTTGAAAGTTCATTGAGCTATATGACACCAGTCACTATCAGTTACTGGATTGAGCCATGAACTGATCTCCTGTGTCCGTTGCTGGTTTGTTCTTAAATGGTTTTCTGATAGAAAACGGGCAAAGTGAGTCATGATCTGGAATAAACTGGAGGAAGAGAGTTGTCTGCATCCAGCAAATGCAGTGATCTTGGTGTAGGTGGGCATTAGTACAGAGGCTTTGGAGGTTGCAGAGGTGAATAGTGCCAATGTATACAGGAGGTAATGACCCGAGGATGATAGTGGAGCTGCCTTAGAAATGGTGTGTTTAGTCCCTAGCCTCAAATAATTCACTGTAGATGAGGAAGCTTTGGTTGCTCCAAAGTGCTTTTATACAGAAGTGTGGGACACTAAAATACAAGATGTCTTAATTAGCATTCAGTTATTGGTAAAATTGTAAAAGTTATTTCAGGAAAATAAGTGTCCAGCATTAGTAGTTTCTTAGGGAACCTTGAACTCTAAATCATGTTTTTGAATGACACTAAGCAATGTTCTTTTGTGGCATGAACTTTTCCATGCGTGTTTTTAGTACTCTTTAATAGTGATGCATTTGGAGTCTGTTTGCATTCCTGTCATCCAAACAAGCCACTTCTGCTCTATGAGAAGGCAAGCTAATTAAGCCAGCCCAGTAGGCCTGCCTACTGTTGTGGTCAGAGTGACTCAGTTGGTTTTCCAGGCTCTTTGGATGGCAAACCACTGACACTTTCAATGGCTGAGGAGTTTAAAATTAAAAATGAGTAACTCACTAGAGGTAAGTTTGACAAGCCACCTCCTTTTGCCACATTAATCTTCTAGAAGTTCATTCTGTATCCAAATAAAACTTAATGGGGTTTATTCTGATGAATATTCTCTAAATTAGATAGGAAACTCTTCTGGCTGAATTTACTTTTTTTTTTTCATTAAAATACAGGCTGTCTTGGAAAAAAATTTCTGAACTCTGGAGGTAGCAAATGTAATCCTTAAAACTAGCTCTAACATGGAATAGATCCTTGACAACTCAGTTTGAGTTGCAGTGTATACTTTTTTGTAGTCTCTGCTTGTTTGCTCTAAAGGCCAAAACCTAATTGGTCTAAGTGACTTTTGTGGAAGAGAAGAGACCTATTCACAAGATACCCAAAGTGCATTTAGTTTCCTGCCATGAGTAATCAGGCTGTTTTGCAGTAATTTGTTACAACCCTACGTGCAGGCTGAGACATAGCCAGCCTGAATCCTTTCAGAAAGTTCCTGCAGTCCTTTGAGTTTAGTGTGCAACATCCATTTTTACTGGGAGAGAAATTTCACAGGGGATTGGCAAAATCTCTGGATGAATGATGGGTAATCGGAAGCACAATGGGATGAAAGAAGACTGCTTAAAATACAGGAACAAGTAGCATGTAATAGGAAATGGGACACGTCCTCATTCTTCTAGCAGTACTTTGAGGCCTACATTTGTCCATGAACTCTTTTGTAAGAAAAAAAAAAAGAGATCACTTACAAAGCAAATGTGAAAGTTCTTTCATATCAGCCTTTGAAAATCTTTTCTAAGTTCTTTCCTTTTGTATTCTTGCTAGGGTGGCTAACTTCACCAAAGTGACTTTTGAACCAATTTCCTTTCCTCACCCTGTTTTCCTCCCTTTGGCTTTCTAAGTCTTAGTGCTGATTTTCTGGGTTTCAGTAATTTCTATGGGCACCTTTATTCTTAGCTTCTTGTGGCATTGACTCGCAGTTCTGTTAGCTTAGAACTGATTTTTATTTAGTTGTTTACTTTTAACTGTCAAAACACTAGTGAAGGGAAATTTGTAGCATTCAAAACCTCCAAACAAAACATTTGGTTTCCAGGGCAGAAAATTAAGATTATGCCTGCATTTGAAAAGCTAGGAGCAGATAATTCTGGAAAGAAAGGCACCTCTGTGTTTTGGACATGCACAGTGACATTGTCTGCCTAACCTGTTTCCTCTCCCAGTTGCTGGGATTTTGTCACATTATGTCCAAATGGAGTGAAAGCTACCTCCATTGGCCCCAATAGCCATTTAAAAGAAACTCCTAGTCTAGAGGCAATTAACACATACTAAATATAACCCTGCTTACAAAACTAAATTATATCATGTATAGCACTTAGCTAGTTATGCTTAAAGCTATTTTATAGCGGAAAAAAATTGTCATCTGCCAAAATGCCTTTATTATAATGTGTATATTAAAGCTATAGATTTTGTAAAGTGAAACACTGTCATTTGATGATCTGTTTTACTAATTACTTGTGGGTTGTTTTTTTTTCAGGAATAGTAGACTTGATATATTTGTGTAGCTTAAATTGAAAAGCTTGGGTTTAGAACTAACTGAAAAGCTATACTGAAGTTTCCCTGGAAGATGGGTACATAGGTGTTTGTTTCATGTCAGGAGAGCCTAACATCAGCTCCTACCAGCAGGACAGAGATACCTGCTGCAAAGTGACTGCAGTATTAGTATGAAGTGTTGCAGGGCAAGCAGAGATCCATATATACAAGTTTTTATAAGATAAGCATGGCAACACAGCTTTTATGTGCTACTGGAACTGGTGTGTACTGCTTCAGATTGATTAAAAAAACCTGAAAGAATGAGAATCTTTACTGATTTTGGTTAGCTGCATTGGTGGTCTCTTCCACATCTATATGAAGGAGCTAGTGCTGGAAGAATACAAAGTTCCAGAATCAAGGTTTGTTCGGTATCGACTCAGTATCATCATCCCCCAGCCCCAAGGTGACACGAATAGTCTCATCACAGAAGAGCTTCTGACTGAAGACTAATTACTCTGAAAACTATTGTCATCCAAATAAAAAAGTTAAAACTTTCTTAACCTGGAAAAAACATGTAGATGTGGCTTGCTTTTTTTTAGGAAACCCAGGCAGGAGATTCCCTCCCAGGTTTCTGTTTCTGAGGTCAAATTTCTCCCTCAGATTCCCTGTGTCCTTCTCACTGCTGCAAATAATCCATCTGGTTTAGAGCTCTCCTCTGTGCTGCCTTGTGCACCATGCTCATTCACCAGTTAGATTTCTCAGAGTTTGCAGTTAGTTGCAAAAATAATTGAATATTTCTGTGGCAACCTAGGCAATGGGGTTTTCCTGCCTTTTTATTGATAAGATGATACAGATAATTTCAAATTCATATCCAGATGTATTTGGGGAACAGCCTGTTCTAGCACCTCCAGGAACTGTCTCTCAGTATCTTTAAAATATGACCTTTAAGATCTTTGAAAACCCATATACTTAATTTCTTTTTTTAAGTCTTCTGATGCCCAAGGCAATTCTAGATGACTCAGTCAATTTTATATTTAATTGGCCTGTGTTTTAAAGTGTCTGTAAGTTTGTCCAGCTTGAACAAGATACTCTGCCCTTTCCAGGTAGGTATAGATGGGATGCTGTGCTACTCACTATAATTCAGCTCCACCAGGTGGCTGTCATGCTATGAGAGTGGGCACATGAAGGGCAGCGTTTAACATTACATTATCAAAGCACTGCCTTGGATTTTAATTGTCAAACTCCTACATGGAATTTAATGGGAATTACAGCTGAATTGTAGTAACTTGGTTTATTTTCTCATTAGTTACCTTCAGGTTTTGGTCACAGTTAAACAGTTCTTTATATCTGAATGAACATGCAAGGTTTGTTTCTGCTGTAATAAAGTCTAAGCATTCTCTCCATACATCCTGTTCACAGGTAGTGAGTTTCAGGCTAGCACTTTAAAAGACATTTCCAGGAAAACAGGCTTGCTTTCTGAAGAGCTTCTATACCATATTTTATTTTGAAGGCTAAATAATAAACTCTAGGACAGATAACAAATTGAGTTTGAATTTTTAAAGATCTTAGATATGTACTATTTTGTCATAGTAAGTAAAGGTGGCTCTTTATTGGCATTGTACCAAGTTTTTCTAGACAAATTATTTTCTTGATGCCGATTTTATCATCCGTCTCATTCATTTGCTTTTATACAGGTATCACAGGAAAAGATGACCTTACTGTGGGCACAACTACAAGTGGAAGAGTGAATTTTTACCCCTGGACAATAGATAATAAATATTATTCTGCAGATATTCACCTCTGTGTAGTCCCAAACACATTTCTTGTTACTGGAGATATTGCTGAATCTGTGCAAGCGTTTGTCGTGTACTTCGACAGCACAATAGTAAGACTCTTCTGCTTCATTATATTGCTTTATCTGTGCGATATAGTTGCCTTATCACAGTGATAACCACAAATTATATTCTCCTCATCTTGTGCCATCCATTCCTTTTAGACTGTTCTATTAATTGTCAGTAGATCAATGTTAAATTATGCCTGCTAACAATGGAAGCAGTTTCCTTCCCTCTTTACTATTATACTCCAGCTAGAAGAGAGCTTTTCAGGATGCAAATATACCACTAAGTTAGGCAAATCCTCCTCCAGCTTTTCTCCTAGCTGATGCTAGTTCAGAAAGGCTGCTTTAGGACAGCCAGGAATGAGGGAGCTAAACGTAAGATTCAGTGCTATCATTTTACCCAAAATTGTTTCTACTAAGCTGGCGGCAGTAAAACCAGTGCTTTAGCAAAAGCCAGAAGGATTCCAGGACAAAAAAAATTCTAAATAAGGAACTGTTTTTCACCACAGATGGGAAAGGGTACATACCACACATTCTACAAAGACACCTTTAACCAGACTTGTCAGGGCTGTCGCAGAATAAACTAGAGCAATGGGAGTAGTTTACCAGCTCCCACAACATGCACTTTGGGGTGGAAGATGGAGTAGCTGCACATTAAACCTGAGATATACTTAAAATGAAATACTCATGATTAGCCTTAAGTAAAAATCTTTCCCAGTCTGCACTAGGATTGCATAATTAATATTAAACATGAAAGGGAGGTCCAAAGCAGTAGGATTGACTCATCCTAAGGTAAGTCAAGAATCAGAAGGAAGTTGTGTGTAAGTCAACTTCTCTAATTAGAACACAAGTGTCTTAAACATCCTTGTTATGCAGCCTAGCATATTTCCTTACTTCATTTTATTCTAATACTATTAATGATTTAAAGCTAGTTTAAAGACTAAAGCATTTGAGGGTGTACTCCAAAGAACTTTTTTTTTGCCTTTAGAAATCTGGACTTGATAGTGTCTCTGAATGGCTTCCCCTGACAGAAGAGTGGTTACCAGAAGTCATGATCCTGGTTTGTAACAGAGTATCTGAAAATGGTATGAAACCCAAAGAAGTTCCATACTGACTTAGAGTTATTAACCTTGCATAATAATTTATTTTCTAGTTAAATCAACACAAATTGTTTCTCAAAATACCTGTGTGAGACTGGGCTTGAGATTTGATTGAGAAGAACCAGGTTACTCATGACAAGGAACAGAAGTCTTAAGTTAATTGTGGTTAAAACTGAATCCGAATTTTACAAGCTTGCCTAAAGTGAGCTCTGTGTATCCCATTCCTAGTATACCAGCATGCACTGCAAGGTAACTAAAAGGCATTCATATTACTGAATGTGCATGATCCACTCTGGTGGAGAATGAGGATGTTGGTTACTTAACTACAGTGGAAAGTACGTTCATCTTTTTTGACCATTTGAACATTAAATATGCATGTTTGCTTTGGTTCTAGATTAGTCTGTGCAATACGACAGCAAACTAAGATGCAGATATGTCCCTGTAACTTAATTCAGATTCAAACCTAGAGTTGATGAAGTCTTCATTCACTGTGACACATCACTTAGATTTCCCTTTGAGTACCCACTGCAAAGTATTTTTATGGTATTTGAAAAACACAATTCAAAGGAGGAGTTTAAGTCTGGATTTTTTTTGAATCAAATTCAAAGTGCGTGGAGGACCCATGCCAGCTATTTACTTTATACTATATACTTTATATACTTACTATATACTTTTTCCTCATACAGTCCAGAATAAACAAACAATTTTTAAGGAATAAAATGTAGCTAAAGATTCACCTGCTGATATTTGTCTCAAATGTGTATGTTTGGTAAACATTTTTGCTTCCCACCTTTAGGTGTTAACAGACAGAAGGCTCAAGAGTGGTGCATCAAGCATGGCTTTGAACTGGTAGAACTTAGCCCTGAGGAACTTCCTGATGAAGATGGTAGGACTGCTACTTCTGTTTTAATTTTTAGAATGAAAAAGCACGCCAAAATATCTTCTAAACAATTGTAAGGGGCCTAACTTTATGTGCCACGTGATTATAGCATGGAATCCTCCCAGTTGGTGGGGCTTAGTCTCAGCTATAAAAGGTCAAGAGGAGAAGGAGGTTATTTCCTCCAAGAAATTCCATTTGTCTCCTCCCAAATACAGCTGCTGTTTATGTAGCACCTACATAAAAATAATATCTGCTCCTTTTTCTGGCATTAATCCTAGGATTGTATTGATAGATTAGAAGCATTTATATTCCACTTTGGAAATAAATCCAGAAAACAAGGAAGAGATGCACAAAGGCAGGAAAATTCTTTGTCTTTTTTAAAAAGACTTTAAAAGCTATGGTACATACCAAGAGAAGATAGACATTATTCAAATGGTGACATGATAGGCTGAAAAGGGGAGATTGTTTAAAACATTTTAGAATAGCAAGCACTGTTACACAGGAAATAAACCAGTTTCAAAATCACTGGCTGACCATATGTTTATAACTTGAAAAAACCATCAAGCAAAGTCAGTAGTGTGGTGTGTGATGTTCCACTCTTGAAAAGTGACGATGCACTTCCTGACAGCCTTATCAGCATCAGCCTCATCGCCTCACTTCAATGATAGAAAAAAGTGTCTACATCTTACCTCTGTAGAGCCAAAATGAGATAACTGACTCCGTTTCCAGGCTTGAGTGGAATTAGTCACTAACATTCACTCTATTTTAGGTTCACCAAGTACATAGCTGTCACCAAAAATAATTTAGTCCGAAGTCCTAAACTAGAACATAAGTCCCACTCCTTCCCCCCTTTAAAGGCCTAGATAAAAATTGTATCTTGAGTAGCTGAGAACACTCCTTCTCCCTCTGCCATGTCTTTAGAGGTGCGTTTCTTTTTGGCGCTTTGTTAGTCAAGGAGGGAGGGATACATATACTTCTGATTTATAGAAACCAGAAAATCAGAAGCGAATACGCCTTAGAGTAAAGTTTTCTTATGAAATGCTTTAAAAGGAAATACTAGTAACATTAAAGCATGTTACTTTTCTATTGAATAATTGTTGAAAAGAACAAGCTATTTACCATTTAAATACTATAAGTAATAGGAACAATAATAACTCAGGATGTTAATCTTCGGAGTATTAAGATACATGTCCTTTCCTGAATTTTTAATATGGTAGTTGATTCACTGTGACTCATGCATGGGAGGAAATGTGTTCCAGTGAGTAACATATTTACCCTGTAAACATGCTGTATGAATTACAAAAGGCACAATGGATGGAGTAAACATACCAGGCCAAGATCAGTTTAAAAATTATGACATTTCTGGCAGCTCATCACAAATGAACTGGAGCTCTCGCTATGACTACGCTGTCAGTCAGTTGTTTGTACAGTAAGGACAAGAACTCTAAACTGAGACACTTGATAATGACTCTGATATAAAACCAAACAGCACTATCATAGAGGGCAAAATATGTGATCTCAGGGGTCGTAGACAGCTTTAAATCCATTTTTAAAGGCAGTTTCAGTTACTGCACCTGTCCCCAAGTCATCCTAGAAGAGTTTGATTTTTAAGCAGTCACATTTTTGTATCCAAAGGGCTGTTTTTTTCCCCCCCCTATTGCTTTGTGAGACCTGCACAAACATGGGAAGCTGACTAAACGGAGGAAATGGGAAAACTGACTTAATGCAAGTGGTGTCAGATCTATTCAGTAAATAAGTTGAAGTCCGAATAATGCTTTCCCTAGTCTTTCAAGTTACTGTAATTCACAGGATTACTGGAACATTTGGAATTAGATGTTGTGGAGATAGCTTTACAATTATCATTTTAATTTTTAACAAACATCGCACCTTTTTTTAAATGGTTGTCTGAAGTTCTTTACTTTGTAAAGGACGGAAAAGTAGTTCTAGCATCTACTTTTATGCCATACAGCATTCTAAAAGATCTTAGGGTAAAAGATGCCTTGCTTTTAACAGCAACTTTAAAATTGTCTATTACTATTAAATTTACTTATATGTTATTTAACGATGTAGGCCTCATGATAATATTTAACAAAACCCCACTCAGAATTTTGATCTCTGCAAAAGGCTGAGAGCTCACAGTTCCTAATACCTGGAAGCCTAGACCAAGAAGTGAGGCATTAATTTATATTTGTTTGGCCTCTCACAAAGCAAAGGCAAGAAATCTGTGTTCCCTAACAGAAGTAGTCATTTATATTGATTGTCGTAAGATAGGGCAGGCATTCAGATACACACCTTCTCACTTTCAGGCATGTAATCACTTTTGGTCTAATTGTTAGGAGTGCAATGTCTTTGTCTTTTGGTTTAGATGACTTTCCAGAGTCCACCGGAGTGAAACGAATTGTACAAGCCTTGAATGCCAATGTGTGGTCCAACGTAGTCATGAAGAACGGTATGTAACACAGGTTCCTCTTATATGAATTCTGGAGAATGCAAGGCCTAGAGGGCTTAGTGTTTTTAGCAAAAGTTTAAACTGAGCAGCTACAATGCTACTGCCACTGCGTCGCTATAAAGAGAACTAGAGCACTCTTCGACCTTCTGCATGGAATAGTAGGGTTTCAAGTATTGCTTTTGTTGTCCCTTGATGCACAGAGAGATTTGCAGGCAATGGTGAGATTTATTCCTGTTGCAGCATCTGTTCCTGTTCCCTCTGTACTTTAACTTGCTCTCTACCAACAACTTGAGTTAATATTCCACTAACTCTTCAAGTTTCAATGAAAAATGAAAGCTTGTTCTGCCAGTCTCTAGCAGGAAATAGCTAGTCATTATCAGCTTGGTCTAAAAACTGATATATGGTTTAGTGTAGAAGTAGTGTCACCTTCCAAATTTGGTATAGTTTTTTTGAAAAAAAATTTGAAACAGGTATGGGAATAGCAAGTACAGAGATGAGATTTGGCAAAGAAGTGATTTCAAATGTCCGTTGAAGGACATACTAAGTGCATTGCAAGAAGAACTGTCTTCCATACAGAAAACCCCACTTGAGTACATGGAAACCACAGAATTTTTTTAAAACAGTGCAAAAACCCAGCAACCCCAGATAATTTCCTGCAGGTAATTGATTATCAGGTAGAGTTAGAATTTTGGAAAAGTCGCCTTAGGATTAGACTCATTAGAAAAGGAAATGCTGTGGCTAGCCCAGAGTGGTTGCAAGGGTAGATACTTCCATTTACTTGAAAACCTTTAATTACCTTTCTAATAACACAAGCTGTTGCAGGAAACGTAAGAAGATTAAACTCTTGTGGAGTGCTTGGCCTTACATTTCTTATTTCACAAAGCCTCACCCAGGAGCAACCTTCCAATATGTGTCTGCTCCCTGATGTACAATTTTCCACTGTTGTGGCTTCTTCCTTCCTACATCTTTTAACTGCGTAATGGTTTCAAGTGCTGAGAGGCTTCTGCTAGTTCCTGTAGCTGCAAGATGGTTACTGGGACTCAGTAGAACTAGGATGAGAACTACTAAACTGATAATCTTTTAAAATTTTTTTTTTAACATTGCCTTTTGAGTATTTCTCATACCACATCAGAATGAGGTTAAGGGGGGTTCTAACTTAAGTTCACCATTGTAGAGAAATAGGTAGCCATTTGAGATGGTGTTATCTCACTAGTGCTAAAATGGTTTTCTTAACAGCGTATTTCCTGCATTTGACAGATGCCACATTACAGAAGAACAGAACTTAGTCACGTGTTCAGTTCTTCTTCGTGGGGGGGAAGTTCCTATGCATCATTAGTGTGTTCTGTAAAGGTCAGACTCCTTGAAAATCCAGATTTTCTATCTCCACAGTACAGAAACCACACAGCATTGATGCAGATTACTACAAACCCCTCAGGAAGTGAGCTATATTTGGAAGTTGTTGCAGCCTGACTATGCCTTCAAAGGGAAATTGTTGAGCTCATTTTACTTAAAATAAAACTTTTTACAGCCTGTAACATATCTTTTGTTTTCAACTTCCTCCTGATCCTGGAAACTTGCTGCCATGTAAATCAAACTTTAGCTTTTCTACTGAATTACCTATAACTGCTTGCCATTTAGAAGCCACATAGTTATACTTCATCTGAAGATTTTTTCATAGAGTGTAAGATATTTGTGTTGTAGTAAATGCTCATAGCACCGTCAAGTGTAGCCATCGAAAAAACCAGTCTCACAGCATTGCCTTGCTTCAGCTAACTGTTTGAGAATTTAAGTTACAGACAGA